CGAAATATGCAACCACTTCAAAAGATGTATTAATTACAATGTCTTGAGAACGGACAGGTATGAACACCAACTTTGCTCAATCTGATGAGCTGTACATCCATGTGTTGACCATAAATTTTAAGAAAGATCTTGCATCTGGCCCGTTAAGGATAATTCCTTGTGATATTATACCATCGCCAACATATTGATGAAAGTTTTGTAATAACAAACCTACATGGAGCCACTATCAAAACCTAATCTCATAATTCTCTTATTCAAAATGGTATACTTGGCTTTAAAACCATAATTTTTGCCATCTAGATGCTTCATTATGCCAGTTTCACTGTATTTTTTTATTTTTCACGCTAGATGCAGATGCATATGAATTACATACTATAACCTTTGTATTGTGAATCTATGCTTGCAAGAATATTAATTTTACTTTAGTGACTTATCCCTCAAAAACATATGAACAACATTTTTTGACAACATCAGATGCGTTAGCTCTTGCAAGCCATCACTACAAGTATTCATCATGAAAGAGTCTTACAATTTGACAATATTTTCTCCTTTTAAATTGGTATAAACAATGCCCAGGCATTCAAAAAGAACCAATTCAAAACCTGTACCGACTTTGCTCTAATTTTTAATTTCATGCAGTAAATTCCAATGCTGCTAAACGTAGCATTTAGCAAATTGACAAAAAAAAACTAAGAAAAAGATGCCGAATCTAAAATTCATCTTAAAATAAAAACTGAAGGGCAATGATATTGGGTCTTACAGCTCGTAGTAGAGTTCTTCTGTCCCTCTCTCGAGCATTCTTAATGGCCTATCACATATATGCAATACATCAGCACTGAATCAAAAACCAACAATAAATAAACTGTAAACAATAAACTTATGAACAGTCTCCAAACAATAAACCACCTCCTCAAGTGTCTTTTGCTCAGCCTCCACTTCTGAACTATCTCTGCAAGTCAGTAACATATATGCATACTCAGCACTTTCGACAATATATTGAATGCATTGGCATTATTACCTTCTAGAAAATGAAGCAATTTAAGGGAATTTTCGTTATCAATGTTATATAATTCTATAATATGCATAAAACAAGGCTTGTCTCCCAATTATCTGCCCAACTTGGCACGAACACTTTGCGCAGACATTTTGCTCCTTAGCACAAGCTACATTGAGTTAACAAAAATCAAAAAGAAAAAAAAATCATACATGTTTTCTATGCTTACAAGGCCTTAAATCTTATGACAAGAAAACTAAAATTGAAAACTAACCAGGACATAGATTGTGATAAGCCTGACGAACGGTTCGTTTAGAACATCGTTGGCTGGTAAAAATTTTCAAATTTTAATTCACTCAACAATCCTTAATGAAGTAACCGAATGAATTTACAATTACATGGAAGAAATTGAAAAGATTAAACACAAAATTACCATTTGGCGGGCTCGATGAGGGGTTTGTATTTGCCGTACTTGCGTTTCCATTCGATTTGATCTTTACAGCGAGAGCACACTCCGGTGATCTCCGAGTACGGCCTGAACTTGCCTCCCACTTCCTGTCGTCGGTGATATACACATATATTAGCAATTTATATCGGGCCAAAGAGAGAGAGAAAGAGTGTGTGTGTGAGAGAGAAAGAGAGAGTACGGTTTCGTTGATCTTGCGACCGGCGTTGGGTTTCCAGGCGTACGCGTTTTGGTGCTTTGGTGGCTGCCCTCTCCTACTGCTGCTCATCTTTCGCGCATCTCCTTTGGCGCTGAACCCAAACACCCCCTGCTATAGCAAATGACCTATTGGGCATGTTTGGTTACGAAACCAGACCAATCCTTCAAAATTGAGGATAACAAGGTGAGATTGAACAAGACCGGACCCGATTAGTTTTGAATTAGTCTTGCAACTGTGAGAATAATCTCTCCTTTGGTCATTCTTACTCCACTTACGAGAAATTTATTCTTTATAAATATTTTAATATGAAAATAATATATGTTTTGCCAAAGACGGATCATAAAGCAAATTAATTAACACTAATGTTTTATTGGGTACAATTAAAAATAGAAAAATAAAAAATTAGATGGACAAATAAAATATCATGCGTTATAAGCAAAAAAAATAAGAAGGATGAAAAAATTGATAGATTAATTTTCTTTCTAATTAACTAAAATTAATTATGTGTGTTAAATTGTATGATATTTACGTACTAGCGATATTAGAATATATGTACAGTTAGAGTGTATATATAATATGTGTGTGTGTGTGTATAGCTGTGTGTATTATAATGTGTGTACAATTCGAGTGTGTATATATTGCGTGTGTACGTGTGTGCACTCTGGGTTGAAGTGTGTGTACCTGTGTGTTGTGGAGTGTGTATTGGGTTTGTGAAATTTGGGAAAAAAAAGTTGGTGTTGGATGTGTGAAATTTTAGAGGGAAGATATACTTTTATAAGTTTAAATATCTAGCTAATTTATTATATAGATATATCATTTTTAATTCAAATAATTTATGCTTAAATTGTAAGTGTTATCAAGGTTTTGTATTTCATGCGTGTACATTACCCATGGGTAAAGAATAATTCTTTGTTATCTTAAAATTATAATTTTTTTCACATAATTTATTATTAAATTACTTATTAAAAATTTAAATTGATAAAATCTTATTTATGATCAACTGAGAGTGAATGAATTAACTATATTATCCATTAAAAAAAATTATTGTCAAAACTTGAATATAAAAACTTGATCAATATTTTTATATTTTAAAAAATAAATAAAAATAATTTTTAAAGAAATAAAAAATTATAATAATTAAAAATATAATATATTAATAGACAAAATATTAATAAGGTGTCATATGAAATTTTTGTCTAAGACCCCACGTTACCTTGGGCCGCTCACCCCTGTTTCATCAAGCCAAACGAAGGCTCNTTTTGTCTAAGACCCCACGTTACCTTGGGCCGCTCACCCCTGTTTCATCAAGCCAATCAAAGGCACNAAATTTTTGTCTAAGACCCCACGTTACCTTGGGCCGCTCACCCCTGTTTCATCAAGCCAAACGAAGGCTCCATAAACTTGGATTAATCACACCACAAAATAAAGAGAGGAACAAAAACTGGTTTTTGCTTTACTCCCTTAAACACTTATTACAAGTAATTTCGAAAGCTCTTGGCCGAAGTACATATTACTTTCAACGTGCAAGCCCATCAAAGACCGTCTTTATTCTTTATGGAAATTTAATTGTGGGTACACCTTGAAGAATGTATTTGATTGTAAGCACATAACTTAGACTTTTAATCTTTTAAGTCATTTTATGTCTAAAATTTCGATCAACAAGTACACATTACAGTTTTTTTTTTTTTTTGGGGTGTATTACCTAATTACCTCGAACTTATTTCATGCATAAATATTTTTCTTTTTTTTCAAGTATGTAAATCTTATACAAGAGATTTTCAAACTTTTGAAATTTCAGAAATCGTTTGAATTTTAAAAATTAATTCTCAAAAATTCTGTCATTAATGGTCCAACTTCATATTATTCAGCCACTAACATTTTGCGAAATAGCAACCAGAATTGTGTGTTATTCGGCCATTGTTTTTTTTTTTGAACCAGAAATTGGGTTTTTTCAAAAATTCTGTCATTAAAAACCGAACTTCATATTATTTAGTCATTGATATTTTGCAAACTAAAGGTTGGCATTGTGTGTTGTTTAGCCATTGTTGTTTCTTCATTATCAGGTGCGAAATTTTCATTTAATTACCTTTTTTTTTTGTTGTTTGTTCTTAAGCTATAGAATTTTTTTTTCAAACTAACAACAAAATCTATCTTCGTTAATCATTTACGTTTGTTCGAAGTTGTAACTGAATCAAATCGACGTTATCTTATGCATAAAGACATTTTTTTTCGAAACAGGTTGTAATTGGAGTACATTTTCTTCAACTACCACACATTGGATCTTTTTGTTTTATATTGTGGATCATATTTACCCACATTCATGGTTCCTTCACTTTGATTAATGTTTTATAAACCCTTTTGTTGAGATGTTTCAACGTCTTGTGCTGTCACTGGTTCCCTATGCTTGAGTTCATATTTATTTTTAGAAGACAACCTTGTTTTTGCCATGTCTTAGGAAAAGTTATTCAACTTATGTAATAATATGATAACAACTAAGTGAATCTATACATAACACAAAAAAAAAAAAAAAAAA